CTGACTTAATGTTCCTCTCCTGGCCTAATGGGAACGTAAGCCGCGATGGGGTCTTCATCCCCACCCTGGCTTGTTTATACAGCTGCCCATTTCTACAAGTGAAGAACCTGAACTCTAGAGACGTTACCTTTGGTTTGACCTCACACCTGTATCAGCTGTAGCAGGAGCTCGAATTATCTCCTGATGGTCAGTTGAGTATTCCTGACTTTATACCCTATTGAAGACAGGCCATACCTTGCACTTCATAAAGAAGTGAGAACAGGTGGTATTTTTCCCGCTTACATAGAGGATGAAATTGCATCTCAGAGGGAGAGCATAGTTTGCCACTGGTGACACACTGCATTGGTAACAAATGCTAAGGTTAGGTTAGAATTTAGGATTCATGGCTGAAACACACAGCCTCTTCATCTTTCATAGTCCCAAGAATTGTTAGGAGTTTATCATTGTCCCCTTTTTCAGCAAACGGCAGCTTGCTTTTTATCTCTGCTAAATATGTGGTGTGGTTTTGAGAGTAAAGTGGAAGAGCTTCATTTAAGAAGGAATTTCATACCATACATTATTAATCAAAGACCCTATCAGGATTACCCTGTGGTTGTCTTTTGAGCTCTTTCAGTGATGAAATGAGTGCTAGGAATTTGTTAGCCTGGAACTTATGCTTAGAATCTCCCTTTTATTTGCTGTCTATCTGCCAAGAGTTTCAGTTGGGAAAAAAGAATATGAAATGGATAGAGTGGCCAGATAAAATAAAGGACCCCCAGGTAGGTATTAAGGGCGTTTGGGTGGTGGGTGTGGTATAGTAACATACATCTGAGAAGGTGTAAACTTGTACCCCTAAATTATATTGTGTCATAAGCCAGCATTATCTCAATAAAAAGTAGTACATTTAAAAAAATTGAAATTTCCCCGAAATTCTTGAATTTCAGGTTCTACTTATCCTAAAAATTATTCATTGTTTATCTGAAACTCAAATTTCATGGGGTATTCTTTATCTTATTTGCTAAATCTAGCCCTCAGAATGATTCTTCTCTCAAACACATTTATTATGTGTTATTTTCACTGTGTTTAGATTTATAAAACATGGCATTTTTTCCCCTCAAAGAACAAAGGTGTGGGATTCAGTCAGATTTTTTAAAGGACATTATTCTTTAGAGTCTTTTTCTTTGACTTCTTTGAGATGGTGTGTTTACCTTGGTGGTTCAGGGGACCATCTTTTTATGATCTAGGTGGAAAGAATGAAGTTAAGAGAACGTGTTATTATTTTTTCTTCTGAATAAGTGACCTTGTTCGCTCTACATTTCTCTATGGTTGAATTTGATTTTGACTCTTTGAGATACAACTAGAACTTATGGGGTATGGGGTGCCTTCTTCATGACAAGTTAATGTTCTTTTTTTTTTTTTTAATTTTCTAGAGGCATGTCATATTTATTTATCTATTTGTTTGTTTGTTTGGTTTATACATGCACTGGGTACAGTCAGAAGCCGGGAGGGTGAGAGAATTCACCAGAGCCAGAGCAGGGAGCAGAACAGGCAGAAGGACCGAAGTACACTGCTGAGGGGAGCAGCGGGCGGCAGGAGAGGTCTGCGTGCCCTGTGGGACCCTCCTCCGGTGGCCAGGGAGCAGCCGGGGATCGAACCGGCGCCGCAGAGGCCACGGGCAGCTTCGCAACCCAGCGCTCAACCGCTGCGCCACCTGGGAGGCCCATGACAAGTTCATGTTCTGCTGGGTCAGAAGACTGGGAACAGGAAACCTGGACTTGGTTTCTTGGTTTTTCTGTGAAATAGCTGAATGTGCTTGATTCAGCTATGTGATTTAGCATCTTGATTTAGAAAGTGGGATTGTTAATGCTTGCCCTACTAGGTTTAAATAAAAGAGTAGATTTTTTTCCAGTATTGCTACCATAAATATTTTTCAAAAGTCCCACAGAGTCAAGGAAAAGAAAGTAGAGATCCTCTTCCGCGCCATTTAAGGGATTTGCCTTGTTGGACTTGTCCGCCAGGCTTTTAAAATCCCTCTGGAACTTTTTATTCTGATTATCTGACACATTTACCTTCTCCATATAGATCAGTTTGCATGCATTGACGTTTGACTTCATATGGCAGCAAAATCCAAAATGTATTTGAATTCTGAACTCAATATAAACTTCAGTTTGGGGAGCAGAGGTCACTTAAAGATTCATCTGGAGTTACTCATTACTATATCCATGGTCCCCTATAGTGTCTGACACACTTCAAAGCCTGTACCTGAATAATTCATTTTAGAAAAAAGGACACTTAGGTGGGGCAGCTAGGACAGATGTTTTGTGGTACAAATTTGTAGTGAAGAGCAAATTAGTCTTAGATTAAATGCAGCGTGTAATAATGTAGACAACAATATTGCATTACAAAATCATCAAACTTGCAGAGAGTAGAACTTAATTATTATCATAACTGAAAGAACATAATTACATAAAACATTGAACTTGTAATTATTGCTACAATGCCAATTTTATTAGTAATACATAAATTGTAATAACGGTGTATGCATTGATGTGTTCACCTTAGATTATACAACAGTGTATATCAAATATGTTTTAATTTGAGAAAGGAAGAAAGAAGGACTTGTTAAAGGAATCCAATTAAAATGGAAACAAATCAATGATGAGATTTTGAGTAGATCTTTATTGTAAGAAGTGGAAGTATAGATTATGGAAGTAAATATATCTTAGATTTAATAAAAATCGATTATAATAAAATCGCCATGCCAATTTTTAGCTTAAGCAATTAATCTTCTGATGAAAGTATACAGTGTCTTCCCCTTAGGTTTGACTTATGCAGCTGGACCATAAAGTCTTTCCCCACCCTCTAACCCCAAATACTTTTGACTTAATACTTGAAGTCTTCAGTTTTTCTAAGGACCTTTCTTAATCTAAACAGCTACTTGTTGGATTAGAATTCTCTTCCCAACTCTTTGCTATGTCATTATTCCTGTTGTTCTGTCTTCATTTGTTTGTTAGCCTTTAATTGGGCATGTCCTTTAATTGTCAATGTTACTGTGCAATATTAACATCACTTTTCTCTACTTTGAGAAATTTTTTTGTATCTTAAATAAGAATTTCAATTTCAGTTTGCAGGTTTTTGCATTTCTGTAGCGTCTGAAGTATTGAAAAATCATTGGGAGAGGATGAATAACATTCTTGTGAGGAAAGGACCATTTCATACAGCCCATATGTCTGTATGGGAAACCTTGATGCCTGCGTAGAGAGGGCTGTATGAGGGGATTAATAAGTGACTGTTTCGATGTTATTGTGATGTATGTTTTCCTATGCAGTCATGTAACTATAGGGACTGAGATAATCAATAATGTGGTCATGAGAAACCTCTTCCCCTATGTCTGGTGGTTAATAAAATGGTTGACTGAATATACAAGATCTTCTTTTACTCTGTAACTTAATCCTGAGTTCATGTCTTCAAGAAAATATCTAGAAATAAAACTTTTGTGAAACAATTATATGTAGAAATGAGAACACTTGAAAGAATTGTTAAGCACCAACTGTTTAATAAGGCATACAGTAGGCCCAGTCTGGTAGGTAAGGATAAATTAGCCACAGTCAGTTATGAGGGCTGCATTTACAGCATCATCAACAGAATTTCATTTTCCAAATCAATAAATATACCAGTATTCAGATATTTCAAAGACCTTTTGATGCAGCCAATTTAGGAGCTGTCATTGATTTATTCAGGCATATCACTGAAGAAATTTTTAATGAAGACCTACTGTATTTTCTCAATGCAGGGGTTAGTAATTTTGTGAATAAGATGAGCAGCACTGATTAAATTTGCATTAAGTGGAAGAAACTGACCAACAGGCTAATAAATGAGAAAAATAGCTGGGGTGAAAATTCAGATCATGTGCAGTGAGAACATGATATACTCAGGTCCTTCTGAGGTGGGGAGATCAGAGAAGACCTGTCCAGGCAGGCTGTGGAAGCTGAGACCAGCCTGGTGCAGGACCGGAGGGCCACATGGCTAAGAGGAAGCTGGAGGGGCCTGGAAGAACCGTGTTTTGTCCTCAGTTCACTGAGAAGCCCAAGTAGGGTAGTAGGAGGTGATTGGAGGTTTTGAAGTGGAGTTGACAGGACATGTCTGCTGGTTTGGATGTGAGTTGAAGGACACTGATTTAGAGGAATTCCTTCATGTTTGCTTTTAGTAACTGGGGAGTTTTGATGGTGCTAGTTATGAGGAAAACTGTCAGGGGAGAGACTGGAGTAAGATAACAGGTGGGGCATTAAGAAACTTGTTTTCACCATTTTTAAGTTGATGTAATTCCTAATGACTACGCTACATCATTAATCTTGTTGTTCTGTCTCCATTTGTTTGCTTTTTAATTGGACAGAACTCCCAATTGTCCTTTATTCCAGGAGTGGACAATCTAGAAAAACAGATCATTTTTACTAATGTTGAACAAGCATTATTAGGATAATATTTACGGAAGTCTACATTATTTCCACATACCAAATCAAATTATTTCTATTTTCTATTTCCCCTTCTAAATCTAATCTGTAAATAGTGATAGATAGAATTATTTAAAATCGAGCATATTAGCTAACAAGCTCAGATAAGTATTTGTTTTAATTTTCAAATATTTAACTTGAGGAAAAGTGAATTTTGAGCAGCAAATCAATTACCTTATTTACGTTTTCCTAAGACTATTGTCAAATTTAGTGACTTTCACGCATTACAAACTTCTGTTGAACAGAGCAGATTTGATGTTTGATGTGTTTTAAGTCAGATATCTACAAAATATATGGCTATAGCAGTCAGACTTGATGAACATGCTCCTAGAAGCAATTGCCCTGGACAGTTTTTTTAAGGTAAAACTTAATAAACCATCTTATTTTTGTTTGCCACGAGAGAAGGAATTTCGTGTAACCATTTACCAGGAGATAAATTTTCGCTTTCAGGACAAGCCCCTTTCCTCCTTCCACGTTTCACAGGTCTGCTTGTTCTGTTCTGTTCTGCAGAGAAATGGTCAACGCATGGTTTGCTGAGCGAGTTCACACCATCCCTGTATGCAAGGAGGGCGTCCGAGGCCACACGGAATCTTGCTCCTGCCCTGCACAGCACAGTCCCCGAGCAGACAGCAGTGCCCCTGGGACACCAACCCGGAAAATCTCTGCCTCTGAATTTGACCGGCCTCTTAGACCCATTGTTGTCAAGGATTCTGAGGGGACGGTGAGCTTCCTGTCTGACTCAGAAAAGAAGGAGCAGATGCCTCTAACCCCCCCCAGGTTTGACAATGAGGAGGGGGACCAGTGCTCAAGACTCTTGGAATTAGTGAAAGATATTTCTAGCCACTTGGATGTCACAGCCTTGTGCCACAAGATTTTCTTGCATATCCATGGACTCATCTCAGCTGACCGCTACTCCCTGTTCCTGGTCTGTGAGGACAGCTCCAATGACAAGTTCCTTATCAGCCGCCTCTTCGATGTGGCAGAAGGTACTACCCTGGAAGAAGCTTCCAACAACTGTATCCGCTTGGAGTGGAACAAAGGCATTGTGGGGCACGTGGCTGCCCTGGGGCAGCCCCTCAACATCAAAGATGCCTACGAGGTAAGACGGGCATTATTGGGGTGCAGAGGGGTGGGAAGCAAAGGAGTGTACCATCAGACCACCACTGTGAATAGGGGGTATTGGAAACCTAGATGGAATCATTTGTATCCTTATTTAAATTTATTTATTTATTTATTTATTTATTTAGGTATTTATTTTTTAATGCAGTTTCTTTGCCAGTGTTTGAGTCAAGGATATGGGCCTGCCTTGTTTTCTCCTTAGTAATAATTTAACAAATTTTGTCTCATAGTATTATTCTTCCATTTTATTTTTGCCATGTCTGTCTGTCTACCTACTTACCTACCTACCTAGCTACCTGCCTGTCTATCTGTTTGAATATGTGTATCTTTCTATCTTTGTTACCTCCACATAACTTTTTGAGGATTTTATGAGATTCTTTTTTGTTTGTTTGTTTAAAGATTATTTATTTATACAAGAACTGGGGTACAGGACAGAAGCGCTGGAGGGTAAGAGGGTTCACCAGAGATGGAACAGGGAGCAGAACAGGCAGATGGACCAAAAACACTGCCTAGGGGAGCAGCAGGCAAGACAGGAGAGGTCTGCTGCGCCATGTGGGTAACCCTTTGGGCCGGCCGGGAATCAAACCCACGCTGCTGAGGCTGTGGATAGCTTCACGGCACTGTGCTTAACCCGCTGCGCCACTGGTGAGGCCAGATCTTGTGAGATTCTTAACCAATAGCCCCAAAACCTGTGACAACACCAAATCCAGAGTTTAAAAAAATTCATTCATTTATTCAGTTAGTCTTTGAAAGTCCCATTGATACCAAAGCCTGGCTTTGTTTCCATCCTTTCTTTTATTTGTTTTATTAAAATAAGTAAACTTATGAAGGTGTTCAAAATATGGAAATTGTCACTCTTTAATATTTCCAAGGAAAGCTTTAGTGTTTCTTTGACTTTTGCTATAGTTATTATGTAGAGATTTTTTTTTTTGGTGAACTTAGAGGTCACACTGTGATCCTTCCAGTTTCCCATTTAAAACAATCCTTTTATTGTAGAATTTCTTTAACACACTTGGCATGTTTATGAAGTATGTTCTACTACCTTGAAAAAAACATTGTTCTAGCCGCCTACCTTCAGGTCCACATACAGGTCCTTGCTAATCAACTCTGATGGCTCCTCTTGGAATCTGAGAGGTTGGGCCTCCCTGGTGGCCTAGGGGTTAAGTCTTGGCACTACCACCCTGATGGACTGAATTCAATTCCTAGTCAAGGAGCTGACCCACATGGCACAGCGGACCTCTCCTGACTCACTCACTGCTCCCCTCAGTGGTGCATTTCTGTAAATCCACCTGTTCTGCTTCCCACTCTGTCTCTGGTGAATACTCTCACCCCCCACACTTCTGGCCTACACGCCAGTTCTTCTACAGAAAAATAAATACATAAATTTCATTAAAAGAAATTTTAAAAAAAGTAATCTGAGAGGTTGTAGCTGTTTGTATACCTGATATTCCTGGTGCCTGTCTCATAGTCGTCTTAATAAATATTGAGTGAATAAAAATGATAGCGTATAGATAGATAAGTAGAACAGACTACAGGTCAGAGAAGATGCCAAGGAAAGTGTGGTAGGTTCTGGGAAGCAGGAGATGACATCCAGTTGGGGAGAAGGGGAAAGGTCTCTTTGAGGAGCAATGCTTGATTTGGACCGTGGAAAAAGTAGCTAAGACTAGTAGACCGAGTTGTATGCATGATGAATTACAGATGTAAAGGGAAGTTTGAAGAAGAGGCAGGGAAGTTGGACTTGCCTAGAAATGTGTGGCTGGGTCATGGTCATATGGACAGTGAGGCGCTGTGGGAACAGACTGCTGGGGTCTTGATGCGAGGCTGAGGGGTGTGTACAGGGTTTGGAGCCAAAGGGAAGAACTGAAGATGGTACGATAGGGGAACTGCTGTGATTTAGAACGCACTTAAGAAAGATGAATTTTATGGTGGTCATAGAATAAACCAGGAGCAAAAATACTGGATACTGGAAGTATGGAAGATTTTTTTTTTTTAAACAGTATGAGGAAGTCAGGACTAGAATCAGTGACCTTAAAGATCAGAAGGAGAGAGTGGATTTCAGATACACAAGTAGGATCTGCTGGACTTGGACAGCTATTGGGAGATGGAAATGAGTGGAATGAGGAGTCCAGGCTGGGTCCAGTTTTGACGTTGGGTGAATAAACAGTGGTAACTGGTGAATACCAAGGGCAGGGATTTGGGGAGAGAGATGTTAGTTCAGCAGGTTAAATCCTGCGATATTTTTCAGAACCCATTCTGTATAAGCAATCTGTTCAGCTTTGATTCTCCTTGGAGCTCTCTCTCCATGACCTGAGCACTGTAGTAACATCATACTGTAGCCGACTCCAGGAGGGGTATTAAGGACACAGCTGAAGGGTTGCTGCCAAATTTGCAGAATTCCCTTCCTGTCTTAGATGACAGCTGGGCTTCCTCTTTTCAATGGCACTATAGTCCCCAGTACGGTAGGATCACAAATATGCTGACGCTTTGCTGAAAAAGCCTGCATTTCTCTGCAGCATAGTCTTACTCGCCAGCTCAGAGAATTTCTCCATTCATGCATGAGTTGTATCCTCTTCTTATTGTCTTTAGAGTTTTACAATGTAATTTTGTTTTGCATTTAGTAATGATTTAATTCTTGTACTGCTGTTTAAAAGAAGCCCACTGTCCTTGGGCCTCCCCAGTGGCCCAGCAGGCACCGCTGTGAAGCTGTCCACATCCTCTGCAGCGCAGGTTTGATCCTGGCCAGCCGGCGAGGGTCCCACATGGCGTGGCAGACCTCTCTTGTCGTGCCCGCTGCTCCCCTCAGCAGTGTATTTTGTTAGTCTGCCTGTTCTGTTCTTTGCTCTGTCTCTGGTGAGTCCTCTTACCCTCCCGTTCCTCTGGCCTGTACCCCATCACTCGTATAAAAATAAATAAATTTAAAAAAAAAGAAGCAGCAGCAGCCCAGTGTCCTTGATCTGCAGGACTCCCCGAGGTGAATCCTCTAGCTTAGATTCTTCTGGTTGCCTCTTTGCCTTGGGTACCCTTGTTCTGGGCCTTTCGTGACCCTGTAGAAGTCCTTCACTTCCTAGGAATTTCACTAGAAACTGTGAGGCTGACCTTGACATGCAATTTACATTGGAATTAAAAGTGGAAGTCAGTTAACTAATGGGTAATTCATTACTCAGCCCCACCCATGATTTGAATAAGAAAATATTGCCTTTCCTGAAAGTAGCCAGAATACTAAAAGTACACTCTAATCTTTTTCTGGGTCTTAGACCTTTAAATATGCAATTGTAAAAATCACACTCTCTCATAGTACTTCTTAAACTAATTTGTCTATGGAACACTAAATGTTGTAATGTGGCAGTGGAAACAAAAGAGTGGTGATAAAATGTAACAGTGCTCAGATTAAGCTAAGACTGGAAAAAACAGTCTCAGAGATAAAGTAATTGCAGGAAATGGTGGACATTTGATACACTTTTTAAACTTTGTAAAAGAATGATATAAATTGAGAATCCAGCTGTTTTATTACATATTCATATATTTAAAATATAAGAGAAAACCTGCAGCTGAGACTTGTGGTTCTTGGTTAGACCACAGGTACCAGTGAGAGGGTTAGCCCTGGGCCCTGATGATCTATCATTTCTTACTGCTTCAGCGCCGCATTTATGTAACTCTTGTGACCGTGACACAGCATTTATTAATAATAAGATATTAACACAGAATGGACAGAACAATATTATAAATATGTTAGACATTTTCCTTATATACGACAGCTAGATTCTCCAATGTTGGTATGGGATTATATATTCATCACGGTTCTTTAGGAAAACAGCCTCTGGGATATACGTATTAATAGATTTGGAAGAGGTTTATTATAGGAGTTTGCCCACGTGTGTATAGAGGTCTACAAGTTCCACAGTCTGCCTGCCCTGTGCAAGCTGGAGACTCAGGAAGCTGATGGTGTAATTCAGAGTCTGAAGGCCACGTACAAATCTGGTCCGGGTGTGAGTCTGAAAACCCAGGACCAGGAGCTCCAGGGGAATGCTAGGGGCAGGAGAAAATGGATGTCTCTGCCAGAACCTGGAGCTCAAAGCTGCCGGTCCTCTCCCTTTTAATCTTATTCAGGCCCTTGGGGAATGGGAAGGTGGCCATGGCTTTTGTTGAAGATCTTACTGATTCAGATGCTAATCTCTCTGGAGTCCTCCTCACAGACTTTCTGGAAATGATGTTTTGCCAGCAATCTAGGTATCACTTAGGCTGGTCAAGTGAATACGTAAAATTAGCCATCACAGATTGCCTTGAACCCCTAATTCCATGTCAGACAGAAGGCTTTAAGCTTCCCCAAGATTTCCTGTATGAAAGGATATATATCGTGAAGACACCCCTATTTCTTCCAAGTCAATTGCAATCCAAAATTGGAATGCATTGGAAAGCAATTGGGATGGGAAAAAAAAAATAGGACTCTTCTGTTTTCATAGGAGAATTACTGTGGATTTTCTTGATTCCTAGGAGAAAGCTGGGGGGAGCTTAGGGAAGGGTCTTTTTGCCTGAGTGCCCCGCCCCCCCTTGTAGCTGCTCTTCCTCCCAAACCCACTTCATTCCTCCCATTTCATTTTTCCTCCAAGGAAATTTCCATCTCTTACCCTTAAGGTCTCACTTTCTACTTCAAGTATTTATCAAGATCATTTTCTAAAGAGATATGAGCACTCTCAAAAGAATTTCCAATTAATAGAATTATTTCCAAAATTAACTTCAGAAGAAATAATACCAGTAACTTTCAATTTTGGTGTGCCTCCTAATCTGTCTTTTTTTTTAAAGATTTATTTTATTTATACAAGAACCGGGGCACAGGCCAAATGTGAGGAAGGGTGAGAGGATTCACCAGAGACAGAGCAGGGAGAAGAACAGGCCAACTGACTGAAACACACTGCTGAGGGGAGCAGCGGGCGAGACAGGAGAGGTCTGCCGCGCCATGTGGGTATCTCCCTGGTCAGCCAGGATCGAACCTGCACTGCAGAGGCTGCAGACAGCTTCACAGTGCTGTGCTCACCTGCCTGCACCACCAGGGAGGCCCAAGAATATTTTCTTACTAACTGTGTACATCTATCAAAATCTGGAAATATTGTGATAAAATATCATGATCAAATTGTAGTCATATTTAGTCATCTGTCCCATTAATGTCTTTATAGTTACTTTTTCTCTTTGATCAAGGATCTAATCCAGGATTACACATTTTATACATACCTGTCATGTCTCTTTGGTCTCTTAAATCTGAGGTAGTTTCTCAGTGTTTGTTCTTTCTGACATATTTTGGAGGCATACAGGCCAATTTATTTTGTAGAATGTCCTTCATAAATAATTTCAAGTTAGGCACTTTTGGCAGAAATACCATGATGTTGATGTTGAGACCCTGTTTGGTTTTCCATGCATCATTTTATTCTTCACTTGTTCTGTACCAAATGGGTGTCCTAGAATCCTTTTCATTTCTAATAACAACTTTGTGGAGGTAGCACAGATCCCACATTGAAGGACTCGGTCTCATCAGACTGCCCACCAGTTCAGATGCTACCTACTAACAGTGTCTCCCGCTGCCCAAACTCCCACAGGTTTGCCGGACTGACCGCAAACTCAGCAGGTATGCCCTTGCGCTCAGTATTTTGCCAGTCACTCTAGAACTCAGGAAAGTAATTACAGTTTTATTATAAGTGACACATTTCAGGAAAAATCAAGTGGGAAGGATGCTTAGGGCAGGGAGTGAGAGGTGAGAGGCCACAGAGATTCCATGCCCACTCCTGTGGCCTTCCACATCACAGCACGTGGTTCTTGTCACCAACCCAGGAGCTACCCCAACCTCATTGTCCTGAGTCTCTTACCAAGATTTTATTATATAGACATGATTGATTAAAGTCATTAGCCACTAGTGACTGAACACAATCTCCAGCCCCCTCTCTTCTACTGAGGTCAGCAGTGGGACCGATCGTTCTAACCCTGTAATTAATCATTTGATTGGTTTCTCTGGCAGCCAACCCCATCCCTAAACTTACCTGGGGTCCTCTGCCCAATAACCATCTTAGAAGTATGAATTCAAGATGCCTGAAAGGGGCATCTTGAAAGATTTCTAATCACTCAGGAAATTTCAAGGGTTTTATGAGTTCTGTGCAAAGAACTAAGGACAAAAACCATATATATATATATATATATATATATATTATAATTCCACATATATTTAATATACATATCTTTTCAGGATACGCTTTCAAGAAGCATGAGAGGTTCACTTACCCAGTATTAATGATGTGCTCATAAATAGTGAAAGGAATAATTACAGTTAATACAGTGCTTTATTTTCCTTTGGTGTTTCTAGAAGGGACTAGAAGTAACTATGTATATTGCCTTTGCCCTGGGTGCCAAAATTCACTCAAAGTGATTTGGAAGAATAAGTAACCCCCAGCTCCTTCAATAAAGAATAAATTCCAGGGCTGCTGTTGATTTTAAACTTACAGTATGCACAGAAGAATCTGTGAAAGTCTTACTAATTTCAGCCTCTCAAACTTCGTTACTTTGATTAGTTTAATTTCATCCTCTTTTTTTATACATTGGTTGTGGAAATTAAAATGTTTATTAACAAAATAGTTGCTGAAGATGCATTTTATTCTTATTTTGATTATTACCTTGTAGCATAATTCGCTGCATAAGTTAATCATATTTTATTTCCTTAATTCATTAATGTTAGTATCCTGTCTGCTTCTTTGAGCTACTTTGCAATACAGTATGTTATGGAATGTTTCTAAGAAACATTCCACTCAAGTTTTCTGTCTCAGTAATAACTTTGCGCATGTTTGTAGAAAAAGGAAAAACACAGTAGTGTTTATTTACAATGCAAAATATTTATCTGGTTTTCCACCATGTTGTAACTTTTTGTTTGAAATTGTCTTTAATGCCAAGGTTGGCTCTCGTGGGGGCAAATTGGCCTCATTTTTGACCCCAATTGATGGAATCTAATCTAATTATTTACTTCATTCACATCTTTGGCTTTGCATTGCTTTAGATTAGTTAAAAAAAAATAGAAATGACCTTCAAAGAGGATGATTTTCCAGCGTGGCTATTCCATATTCTCTGAAGGGAATTCCAAAAGCAGAGTTTTTAGAGCAGCGATGCTATTATTATGTTGAGCTTATAACTTCCCAAGGCTCCATGGCTTTGAAGGGAACAGCACTCATTTGAGTGTTTATGTCCTGGTATGTTTGTTTCCATTCTAATCTTATCTCAGGTATTTGTTGACTTCCTGGAGGAGGTTTTCCCACCTACCTTTAGGATTTGCTTTAAACTATAATAAACTAAAGAGATCACCTTTGATAACTATGATAATCACTTGTTTAATGAATTCTTTCATTTATTTAACAAATGCTTTTGCATTTCTGTGCTAAGTATTGGGAATATTTAACCCCCCACCCCTTTCTATAAAGAAGACTCGTACAATGTATAGTCAGATTTAATTTTCATAGTCTAAAATTTATGGAAAATAGCCTATACCTTTCCTTAGTTCTCATTTAGAACTCATTTAGAAAATTTGAATTTGCTTCAAATTCTTTTGTGATTTTTGAACTTTCAAGATATACCTTGTGAAAGGGGAAGATAGTAAGAAGATTGGAGAGTTGCAACTTCTTTATACATACCAAGGGAGAAACAAAAGATTTCATCCTATGAATATGTGAGATAGAAGTGCAGAATATTGAGGAAATATATTAACAGCTATTACTTGGAAAGTAAAATCAATAATGGAAGTTTGCTTTGGTCTTTTAGAAAAAGTTTCAGAGCAGAGATGCATTTGTTTTGGAAGGCACAGAATAATAATAACAATAATAATATAATAACAATAATAATAACAATAATTATAACAATAATAACAACAACAACAATAATACTAATAATAATAATAACAACAATAATAATAAAAACAAAGTAAGGTGAGAACAGGCAAAGTACAGAAGTGGAAAGTTACCAATTTTTCCAGAATTTAAGTAAGGCTATCTAATATTTTGGATTTCCTATATTTGTGAACATTGAATCCGTTAGAAAAGAGAGGGCGCCAGTACTGTTGTCAGCTTTATCTCTGATTCAGCTTATCTCAGGCTCCCTGGTTCCTGGTTGTGCTCTCATCAGAATCTGTATTTTTTTTATTTCTCATAAATACTAACTGCTAAAAAATACATTGAATTTGTCTTTGTCGAAGATGATATGTACTGACATGATCTGGTGCCTTTCACAATGATAAAATTTAGAGTAACAAGGTAAGTGGAAGGTTAGATTTCTCTAATCTTATAAATCAGAAAAATCCAATCAATCTTTGAACAGGTCAGTCATTAAATTGAATTTATTTTTCCTTACTAGGATCCTCGGTTCAATGCAGAAGTTGACCAAATTACCGGCTACAAGACACAAAGTATTCTTTGTATGCCAATTAAGAATCACAGGGAAGAGGTAAGCCAATTTTCCATTTTATAAAGGTCATTCAGAAACATTTTTTTTTAAAACAATTTTATTTTACTTTGCATCCTTTGGAAATAATATTATAGTGATGAGATAACGCTAAAGTACTTGAATGTTCTGCCTAATATTTTTTGTATAAACTTTAATTACAGAGTTGAATCCTGTAGAGACTTGACTTTGATTTAGGAATAAATTTTAGTCACATCCTTATACCCAACTCCAAGGAGCTTATTCTCTATCATTGTGGTCACAACCCATTCATTTCTTATTGTATTTTAAGTGTCTGAAGAGTACTTGTTTCACATGTGGTTATTTATTTGCTGAGGTCATCAGCTAACCTTTTTTGGATTTAAAATGAGATTTTGGGAAAAAAATGGAAAGTAGATAAAGTTCATTGTAACATGACAAGCAAAGGAAAATATGTTGGTTTGTATTTCACCTAACTAAATAATTTGGATCTATTAACACTGAATTCTCTTTTCTTTTTACACTAATTTGACAAAAATAGTTCATAATTATTATTGATTACACTGAATGTTTCAGCTGGGTGTCCTTTTTTTTTTTTCCAAATATTTATATAATAACTGGGGTACAGGCTAGGGGCACGGGAAGGTGAGAGGATTCACCAGAGACAGAGCAGGAAGCAGAACAGGCAGATGGACTGAAAACACTGCTGAGGGGAGCAGCGGGAGAGACAGGAGAGGTCTGCTGCGCCATGTGGGTAGCTCCTTGGCCTGTCGGGGAATCGAACCCTCACTGCAGAGGCTGCAGATAGCTTCACAGCACTGCACTCAAAGCACTGCGCCACCGGGGAGGCCCTCCCACTTTTTTTTAAGATTTATTTTTTTATACATACAAGAACCAAGGTACAGGCCAGGGTGAGAGGATTCACCAGAGACAGAGTGGGGAGCAGAACAGGTAGACTGACTGAAACACACTGCTGAGGAGAGCAGCGGGCAAGTCAGGAGAGGTCTGCTGCGCCATGTGGGTTGCTCCCTGGCCAGGGATCGAATTCCTGTTACAGTGGCTGTGGATAACTTCATATGTTGTGTCTTAACCCCTTGTGCCACCAGTATTTTTTAAGGTTTTCAGATGCTTACAATGTGAGACTAAGATTAAAAACCACCGTCAGGGATACTAGAGTCACTTTGATGCTTCTTATTTTCGAGTGATAACATCTTTCCCTCTTCCATAAGGTTTGTTACCAAATCTCTTTTTTTTTTTTTAACCAAGGGATGTTTATCATTTCCGTGTCAATCTTTTCATCCCTGTTGCCTGTACCATAATTCAGATCTTGAAGTAATGCTGAACCTTTAAAATATTCTTGTAGGAGATTTCTCTTCTTGCCATCAATTTCCCTTCAAACCACCTGGCAGATCACCAGGAAATTGTCCCTAACTCACTTTTCTAATTCAGTGCTTCTGTTTTGGAATATATTTTTAAATATATTTTTAAATATATTTTAAATATATTTTTAAACATTGTTTTGTAGCACTGGATGTATTCAGAAATATGCATATTAATCACATGGGGCTCTTGTTAAAATACAGACTCTTGAGTTCAGTGGGCCTGGGTGGTAGCTGAGATTCTTTTCTAACAAGCACCACGTTGATGCTGATGCCTGGGTTTGTGAATCACAATTCAACAGGATGCTAAATGAGTCTCTTCTCAGTAATCCAAGTAAGTTCTCAGGACCTTGGTTTCATAAAAGGGAGTTATAGCCTTGTAACTTGGTTTCATAAAAGGGAGTTACAGCCACAGTTACTGAAAATACCTGGACCTGAAACATGAATATAAGATGAATTAATTATGCAAATACAGAAAGGCAATTGAGAAGAGCATTTATGGTCTAACATTGCTGGTGTGATTAATGGGGTTGCCAGACACAGCAAATCCAAATCGTGTCCCAGGTCTACTTACAACCTCATTATTCTAAGAAATTATTTGTTGTGTGTTTGTCTGAAATTCTTTTTGACTGTATGTCCTATATTTTAGCTAGCAGTCTAGTTACAAATCAAGGACTGTGATTCTGTGCACTTAAGATGATGTTCAGTTTTTAGTTCATAGATGTGATTTCAAATCGTGCCTTAGAAAAGGACCATACTGGTCAAAAGATTCAGCTTGAATCATGCTCTGATTAAACTTCTCTTTCTAAATAGTGTGAACAAACTGCACTAACAGTGAGGATGGGGAACACAAGACAATGTGCAAGAAAACCACCAGGTGGGGTGAGAGGGAACCCCATCTTTGTAGGCGTGTCCCCAGGATACACACATTTCTCTCTTTACCCCTCCAGTGAGGATGACTGAAAACAAACAATAGAACAAAACCCCCATCTGTACTGGGGTATAATTTACTTAAGTAAAATTCACCCATTTTAAGTGTCTCAGTTGGTGACTTTGACACATGGGTATTCCATCATGTAACTCTTACTGTGATGACGGTATAGAAAACATGTGTGACCGTCAATATTTCCCTGTATCTCTTTGTGGTGGAACTTCTTCTTCCTCCAGCCCGTGACAATCACCGATTTATTTTTTCTCACTATTGTTTTGCCTTTTCTAAAAAGCCATATGTAACAGCAGGAAGGGACAAAGCAGGTAGGTAAAGGAGAGTCCTGGAGCCCTCGGTGGCTTTTCACGCTTTTATTGCCATTTTACCAGGCATACGGCAGGCAGGGGTGGGGGTGGGGGCTGAGAGGTTGGCAGGCCTCTCAACCCCCAGAGAGTCTTCACTCTTCCTGGGTTCTCTGGCGTTCTCGTTGTGGCCTCTGCTTCTGGGCTGGGTCTCTTCCGGTTTCTTGCTTTTTCTCCTGGCTCTGTTTTGTTCTTCCGGTGTCCCTGTGATGCCGCCCTTATAGGCCCAGTCTCAGGCCAGATGAACCCAACTACATATGCCCACACCCCACTCCAGGTGCCCACCATCAGGCATGCCTGCATTCAGGACCGCAGTGATGCATCATCAATCCTAAAGGCAGAAGGGCAGAAAGCCTGATCCTTTTTACTTACCATACACCATGTAAGTAGGATCCTGTAGTATGTAGTGTTGTGTGTCTAGTAGTGATGAGATCCACCCAATCTTGTATGTATCAGTAGTTGGTGCCTTCTTATTGCTGAATGGTATGACTACTAGTTTCACAGTTGGGTACACCACAATTTGATTACTCATTCACCACTTGATGGGCATTTGAGTTGTTTCCAGTTTTTGTCTAGTATGAACGAAGCCTCTAGCCATGTTTGCATACAAGTCTGTGTGGGCAGTATAATGTGTTCATTTTATAATGTTTCATTTTTCTTATTTGTCTTGGGTGAATATAGAGGAGGGGGATGGCTGGATCATATGCTGACATATGTATCTTTAATTATGTATAAGAAACTCACAACTCTCTTCCAAAGTAGTGGGGCCATATGTAGTCTTACCTGCCATTTATGAGGGTTCCACTTGCTTCGAATCCCTGGCAACATGTGATAGGGTCAGAAAATTTTAGCCATTCTGGTGGGTGGTGATTTAAATTTCATTACATGAATATGTGACTCCACTCTCTGCCAAAGGGCATCTGCTCACAGATTGGTTTTAAGTGGATTCACCCACAGCTCACCAGATTGATTGTCCAAAGCTGTCTTAGGTTCCTGTGGGTTCTGGAGACTCGGGTGTGCCTGTCTCCATACACACTGCCATGTCCTCTCCTGCTAGCTCTGACTTACCCTGTGATGACTTGAAATGACATCTGCCCTTTTTTCTTTCTTCTGTTCTTTCCAGAAAAGTTCACTCACACCAATCATTTCAAGAGAGGAAAAACCCTTTAGTCACTTCACTGGAAATGTAGTATCTTTACTGAAAGGAGGGTTTTCAAAACAGCTCTTTAACCATCATTCTGACTTTCCCATCTCCCTATTGCTCCCTCTCCTCCCATAGTCATACTGCGCAGCTTGACATTAAGTGCAGAGAGAATTGTGTGCTCAGAGAAAAGGAATGAAAAGAAGCAGAAGAATAGACACACGCTCAGTGTGGCTATTGCACAAAAACATGTAATTTGACTGTTTGAGAATCATGAAGTATACAACTTCCAGAATTATCTTCCAATTTATAGCAATGTAAACAAAACCCAGGGCAGTGTTTGCTTTTGTGTATGCACAGAAATAAATACCCTTTCACAAAGCTTTTGAAATCAAAATGGAACATAGCGTTAGGATTTTTGAGAATAATTTTTAAGGTGGACTTGAATCCCATCTTTGCCCCTTCTTGGTGAGTAACCCAGATGGAATTGGTTTATCCCTTTGACTTTCAGTTTCATCCTCTGCAAAATGGAGGTTGTAAAAGGAGACCTACCTCATTGCTTGTGAAGATAAATTGCATTAATGCATGCAAAGGGCTTAACATACTTCCTGGCATATTCTGGAAGTGATCAATAAATGTCAACTGTGACTTTTTAATTGAAGTGACGTTGCATTATAACATCATATAAATTTCAAATACACATCACTATAAATCAGTGTTTGTACATTCAGTTTGCCACTAAAGTCCAATTTTATTTTTCGCAATACAGTTGACCCCTTTTACCCAATTTACCCCTCTCCCTCCCCTCCTGTTACCCAGTAATCTGCTCGTATAGTCAAAAGTTTATTTTTGTTTTATTTAGTACAATCATGAGTTTGGTTTCTTCATGCACTGCATATAAGTGACATCATAGTGTTTGTATTTCTCTGACTTACTGCACATAGCATAAGTTCCTCTAGTTCCATCCATATTGTTGCAAATGGCAGGATTTTATTATTTTTCAATAACAGAGTATACTCCATTGTGTAAAGACACACCTTCTTTATCCAATGATCTGTCAGTGGCACTTAACTTGTTCCCAGCTCCTGACTATTGTAAATAGTGCTGCAGTGAACATGGTGGTACAGTTATCTCTTAGAGTGTTCTTATATGTTCATTATATGTTATATGTTATATATAGCGTTCTTATATGTTCTTATATCTCTTATAGCGTT